TTGTAACGTCATCAATTTTGACATCAGAAGTTCCTTCAAAAGCAACTTTGCCACACATTCGATCGCATGCGAGACCTTGTTTGTTTGGCCTGAAAAAAAAATTTGGAGTGATACAATTTTAGAAAGGTTAACTTTGTACCATAAAAGCTCAATCAACCAATTTGCTCACGACTCCGGCCCATCAAAAAATATTAGGGTAATGGCAAAGGATGTTTTTGTAAAAGGCAAGACAATTCTTGTACTGAATTAATAAATAAAATTAATTCAGTACAAGAATTTCTGAAGGCATAAGCATAAGCTAAAGGCATAGTCAGCCATCAGCAAGGAAATGACAATAACTTTTCCCTTTTTTCATATTTTTTAATCTCATACGTTAGAAAAATTTTATTCAAAAATTAGTTGGCAAATTTGGATACTGGAGTCGACAATTTTGGATCTTTAGTCAGTTTTTTTTTTTTTTTTTTTTTTTTAGTCAGTCAGTTTTTTTGTTAAAGGTCTTAGTCGGCAATATTTTTGCCCATAGACGGCAAAACTCTTTTTTTCGTTCCCACCCCCTCCTTACCCCTCCTTCTTCCTCCTCCTCTCCCCTCCATCTTTGCGATGGTTTAAAACGTTTACAGAATGGGGTCGTCCATAAAGTACGTACGCCCGGATAGGAAGAGGGGGTCTGCAAATAGCGTATATGAGGTGGGAGGAGGAGGGGCTGTAGGTCAATTATAAAAAGTAAGGAAACACTAAATTAAAAAAAATATCATAAAATGTTGGGTTGGTAGGTTAAAAGCGAAGGTACCTTTAGGGAGGTAAAGGGTACTCAATAAAGCGTGTGTCTAACAATAAAGCATGTCTACTAGGAAGTTAAAAATAGATGTGGGCTAAAAATCGATTTTTGAGAAACTATATAAGAGATATATAAGACATAACAGAATATATCATTCTTGTCAGTATTACTTATTATTAGTAAAAAAATTTCATTTATTTTTGCTCTTCCCATTATTAACGACGGACCATGTTTTTTTTTTTTACTTTAAAATTTGTGTTTGATAATTTGATCACTGTAGTATTTTTCAAGGAAAAATATTATTAAACTTGTGTAACTTTTTTCTTTACCAGTGGTTTTACTTTTTAGAAATTTATTGTAGAGTTTTTACTTCTTTATTAAGCATTTTAAAAAAAGACTTATTCATTTTATTATTCATTCAATAGTGTATTTACTGTAAATAGGTTTTATTAAATTACTTTTTGTAAGGCTCATTAATATTGTTACATTTATATGCATTTTCAAGTATTAAACATCTTGTATTTATAGGTGTATTTGTAACTGTACTTTATTCAAATATATAAGTTACTCTTTTCAAATATATATGCTAATAAACTTTAAACATACGGATATTCAAACGTTTATATTAAGTAAATATTAAGCATCTGTGGCGCAATTGTTAGAGGTCTAACTCAAAACCAGGAAGCTCGAGGTTTGATGTCTATTCTGGTAAGATAAGCAACATAGGTAAGGATGGGTGCATGAAATGACGCATTTCCATTTACATATAACAGTAAGATAATACAGTATTGCTACATTCTTTGTAATGCAACAACTAAAACAACTTGAATCGTTGCTCATAAATTGATTCCATCAGATCACAACGTATACTTCTTATAAAAAATAACACAGATTAATGGAGATTATGATTTTTGGCACACTTTAAAAATAAAAAAGCAAAGTTAACATTAGTGTAAGGGACGCTAAGAAATAAAATTATTAAAATTAAAGATAGAGCTAACAGATGACGAAGAAGTAGCAGAGATATAAAGACAACAAAAGGTAAAGTAGTAATATTAGTGACATGGTAAGTAGGGGATAAAGAAGTAACGTTAGTAGCAGGGTCAGTAAACTATTAACAATTTTTTTTTTACTGCACCAGACAATTTTCGTTTTAAAGGCGTATTGTTGAAGTCGTATTTTAAAGGCGTATTGTTGAAGGCGTATTGTTGTAAAATAAACTGCACTAGGTAATATTACTACAACTATAACTAGTTTTTTTTTAACAAATGCGTATGACATTTGTATGATGACATATGACATATATGACATTTTAACTGCTTCAAATAATGCGATTACACACACTTTTAAAATGAGAAAAGCTCTGTTGTTTAAACTTTTTTATGTGTATTAGTTAAAAATATGTCATTTTAAATATTAACTTCTCATTAAATATTAAGTATTTCCTTTAAGCTTTAAAGTGATTCGAAAGTAAATTTTTTGATAAAGAGGTTTAAAAAAATGTTTCATAAACCATAATTTATGCAAGCCAAATAAATTTTTATTTGTTGCAACGAATTCAATAGTACTGATGTTAAAAACAAAGAACTCAAATAAAATAAAAATGCCAATTATAGAATACTTAATTATAGAAACATTATTGAGACCAAATATATTGTACTAGGTTGGTTTTTAACAGGTTCACTTGAAAAAGTATTGTCAAAGCTTTGACAAAGATCTGGAAGTACATATTTTATAAAGCTAAACCTTAAATTGAAAAAATATAAATTCAACATTTTAAATTGATATTGCAACTTGACATTTCTGTTGATGGCATTGATAGTCAAACTTGACTTATTATTGATAGTCAAACTTGACAACACATGTTGTAGAAAAATTTTAACTGATTAAAAGAATTGCTGGATAATTTACAATTCGGTCAATAATTTACAAAGCTTAGTTTACATAGCTGACTCTGTGTAAGAAAATCCTTTAATTATAAAATGCGATGCGCAGAGCTTTAAAAGTTATTATTCTTATTTTTATTATTCATGAACTATTTAGTTTTTAAAAATAGTTTTAAAAACGGATTTTTTCAATCAATTAAAAGAGCGAGTGCTGTTTAACTTTAACCCCACCAGTATCATTTTAGGTGAGACACTGAAAAACCAATACAAACTTTGAAAAACATGAGTTTTTTGAGCAAAAATTTTTATTATAGGAACCTTTATGAACCTAAATAAAGTTTTTTTTAGGTCAATATTTTTTTGCTGAAAATCGGAGATAAGAAATTGTTACTCTCTCCCTAACTCATAACCTAATAAAACAGATTTCGATTCACAAAGATTTTGATACTTTGTTGTTGATGTTGAATTGTTATTGGGGCTGTCCATTAATTACGTCAATAAATAGGGGAGAGTGTAGGGATCTGGAACTTTTTGACGTTTATTGACAAAGAGAGGTGTGGGAAGTCAAGGCAAGTTGAAGTCAATAATATTACTTTTTTAAATAAATTTAATTACTTAATAAAAGGAAAACTAGTTTCCAGTCCTGTGTTACACACTTACTCAACCTTCATTATTTTAATAAAACTATTTATATTACTATTTTTTTAGCACAATGCTTTAAAAAGACTTGACACATGCAGAAATAAATAAGCCCAGTTTTTTAAAAGTTGTTGTTGGTTAGTTTGCTGTGCAAACAAAAAAGATTTATACAAGTACATAGTCATTATATTGTTTAAATGTTTATACCAGGGGTCGGCAACCTGCATTTTGCAACCCTCATACGGTTCTTTCAATGTTAAGATGCGGCTTATTAGCTCCATGCAAAAATATTATTATGATATTGAGATAAAGATGTCAGAAGCTCTTTCACCCGACCACTGGTTTATGCAATTTTTTTTTTTTTTTTTTTTTTTTTTTTTTAAGTTGATTAAAGTGCCCCAAGAAGTCCTTACGGTCTTATCACAGAGCACTGCGGAAGAGCATTTGATAGGAAGTTTACGCCTTCTTAACCGATGTCGCAAAACTTGCCTAGAGGTGGGGTTTGAACCACGGATTTAACGTTTCTGAGGCAAGTGTGCTACCACTGCGCGACAGGCTGATTTTTTACGTAGTAAAGGGTAGTAATTTGTTAAGTGGATTGTTTGTTTTACTAGACTCTATTTGAAATAATTAGCTTTCACTGTGAAGTAGGATTAGGTCTAAATTTAAAGTGATGAGAATTGGCACATTAACGGATAACGACTTAGCACTGTAAATAAATTATGATAAATATATAACACCACAATCGCAGTTGTTTCATTCAGGAGAGAAAGGGATTGTAATTTTCGTGTCTGAAACTCAATAAAAAGTAAACGTAATTTTTTTTTTTTTGTTATTTAGGTTTTGTTATCTAGATCTCAATAACACCTAACGGTCTTGTCACAGAGCACCGCGGAAGTGCATTTAACGAGGAAGTTCGCTCCTTCATCCTTACCGTGACGCGAAAATATGTCCAGAGCTCGTTTCGAACCATGATCTTCTGCTTTTAAAGCAAGCGCTGTAACCACTACGCCACAGCCGCACTAATTAATGAGGGGTTGTCAACTCTGGAAGTTTGACTAGACGAAGTTAATAGTCATAATTTAAATAAATAATCAAAATAGGAAATTAAATGAAATGTAATAAATCATAACAATAACATAAAAGTGATATTGGATGATGTAGTCATTAGGTTTAGTGATAGCGTGAAATATCTAGGGATTATTATTGGTTACCAACTTAATTTTACTGAACATATCAAATATATCTCAAAATTGCAAAGAAAAGGTATCTTGGTAGAATAAGCAAATACTTAACTCAATGGGCTAAAAAGATAATCTTTCAAACTGTAATTGCTCCCCGCTATGAATAATGATTATTCATTTATATAATTCTCATTGCTTTGTTCTGAAGTTTTTCTAGGATATTTAAGTTATTAGTGCTGATACCAAGAAAAATAAAAACACATTATTCAACAATACACATTGTTGAATAATGTGTTTCTATTTTTCTTGGTATCAGCACTAATAACTTAAATATCCTTGAAAAACTTCAAAACAAAGCATTGAGAATTATATTAAAATGTCACTGGTTAACTCATATAACAGGAATGTTGAAATTGCTTGGTTGGATCAGTGTTAAAAAAAGAATAATTTTTAATTCACTTTGTTTCATTCACAATTTTACATCAACTGAAAATGATATATTTAAACCATTCTATTCAAAAAAAATAGCGAGTTATATCAACATTACACTAGACAAAGTAGTTATTTTCATAAAAGCAGCCAATACAATAGAGCAGGGCAGAAGTCATTGTTTGTGTTTGGTTTGAAACTATTCCAGGAAATAGCTTGTGGGTTTGCTTAGCTAGACTACAAAAAATTCAAAAAAACCTGCTTCAAACACTAAAGAATAATCAACTTATATAGTAAACATTTATTTTGTAAAAGTTACTAAACTAGCATTAAGTTGCTAAATAAATAAATGAATAAAATAAAAAAAACATTAAAATATTTTTATGTTAATTATTTGTTTTTAAAAAGTAAAAAAAAAAAAAACAGTCAAAATATTTGTATTTTTTCTTAAGATAAAGTACAATTATTTGTATTTAAAATTGGAAAACTCAGATTACATATATTTATGTTTGCATTTTTTTTATGGAAATCCAGAATGAACATATTTGTGCTTGTATAAAAAAAAAGTACAAAATAAAATACAAGCAAATAATAAATGCATAAAACCAATACTTAAAAGGGTTATATTGTTTTTAATAATTATATAACTATTATAATATTTATAATATAGGTTATATTATAAAATTCATAATAGTTATATAATTGTTGAAAACAATATAACCCTTTTAAGTATTGGTTTTATGCATTTATTATTTGCTTGTATATATACTATAACAAAGTTTAAACTACATATATTAGATGATATATATATATATATATATATATATATATATATATATATATATATATATATATATATATATATATATATATATATATATATATATATATATATATATATATATCTGTGTGTGTATGTGTGTGTGTGTGTGTTTAAGCTGCTTAATGTTATCAAGCTGATCATATGTATAAAATCTAATGTATACTAAATCTAAATTAGTTATATATACATTTATGTTACCAAAAATGTGTATAAAAGTTTTATAATAATATATAAGTTTTATAATAAAAAATATTAATGATTTTTTTCTTATGTAAAAAATAAATGTATTATATTATTATTACAAGTGGTAACAAAAGTATATATAAAATTCATACTTTAGACCATGGTATTATTGATACTTTTGTAACAAAAGTTTGCATAAAATATTCTTAATCATTAATTAAATGTATTTGAGGAATGTTTGTTGAACAATTCTCAAATACATTCATTTAATTGAGATGATAAGAGCTTTACTCAAATGTGTAACCAGGTTATTTATAACAATACAAATATTTTGACACCAAAAAGATCAACTTGCTTGTCACAAAAATTTTTAAGTTATATGACTTATTTGCAAAGTTTTCTTTAATGCATTTTTATAAAAAAACGTTATCAAAATAAGAAAAGTATAAATTGTTTTGATTAGAAAGAATTTATTAAAAAAAAAAAAGTTTGGTAAATTTTTCTTGACTGCTTTTTTTTTTAAATCACTTTAAATCTTTTTTTTTTAATCATACTTTTGATTTCTTTATTGTTTATAGGTTTTAGTTTATATATGGTTATATAGTTTTACTAAATGCATTATTTATGTTATCTTAGTAGAGTTAAAAACTGTGTTATTACAAACATGGGTGCACTTCTTGCAGGTCAGATGAAGTCTACAATGGATGAAAATTTTAAAAAAAATCAAGAGTTTATGTTAACAACACAAGAGTTGCAGGTTTATATATATATATATATATATATATATATATATATATATATATATATATATATATATATATATATATATATATATATATATATATATATATATATATACACACTTACTAAAGCGTGTTTTGATAAGCATTTGCTCACTTTTTCTGCTTACCTTAAGCTATACCGTTTTTTTCGAAAAAGAAGAAGAGAAAAAACAAAGAATGATGAATAAACCAGTTGCTTCCCCATCCCAGACCCTCAGTCGATGTAGCAGCACTCCACTGCGAGTCAGGCTATTTGTCAGTCGATGTATGTACTGAAGCCCCCAGCAGCAGGCTATTTCAGTATGACGTCAGATTGCTTACAATAGTACGCAGTACTATTTGTGTATATACATATATATTTATTTATTTATATATATATATATATATATATATATACACAATATAAATTTGTTTTTGTGACAGCTTTAATAGTTTTGTTTTAATTTCTTTAATACACCGATCACTTTCTTGAAGATTTATACTAATACATAGACATCAATTATTTTACATGGTTTGTCATTAGCAGTTATTGAAAGTTTTTGATAATATATCATTTTAATACTATATTCTAGTTAGGTCGACAAATGGCTATGCAGCAGTTGCTTCAACAAAAAATGATGGCTATGCAACTTGCTCGTCAAAGAGAAATGTTTACCTGGATTGCTTCATTTTCTGCTACTGTTTCTTTAGGTCTTCTGGCAGGGTGAGGTTTTAAATGTTTTTAACATTATTTTTTAGGTTTTTTAAACTGGTTTTCTAATCTGATATATAAAAAAAAGAATGAATGAACTAATAAAGCAACAAGGAACTGGTGTTTGGATTAAAGTTGTTCAGAATTTGGCCCTTTTATTATTATTATTTTTTTTGTGGTTTGTTAAATTTTGTAAATAAATTTTAATATTTAAATTTTTATAATTTGTTAAGTAAATTTTAATACAATGCACAGTGGGTCAAAAGTGATATTTTCTAGCCAAAACCCCCCAAAACAAAAATTTTATTAACTTTTCTAATTAGAAACAGTTTATTACAATGAAAAACACTATCTAAGGAAAAAAAAACATTTGTTTTGAAAAAACTTAATTTTTATTACATAATTACGCAAATTATTTAAAAACTCCAGTTTTTCTATTTATAAAAAATTCTGTTAAATCACCCAATAAGTTATCATTTAAATTTACATTATAGGTAGACTTTTGCCTTTCTCAATCTCTAACTCAAATAGTCAACTTTCCAACTCGTTTTCCAGACAACCCTAATCATTTACCTTCTCTACTCGACTTATGTCTTGTTTTGGATCCTAGTCAGTGCTCAATTTCTCCACATTCACCCTTAGGTACTTCTGATCACGGTTTGATCTCTCTAAAACTATTATCAAATTCTTCTACTTCATCAGAATCCCCCTATCATCGTACCACATACAACTACCTTAAAGCTGACTGGGACTCTTTCCGTAATTTTCTTCGTGATGGCCCTTGGGTAGAAATCTTCCTCGTCTTCCTGCTGAAGAGAAAAATAGAAATCTTCTTCGTCTTCCTGCTGACAAATGTGCTTCTTACATAACTTCGTGGATTCAGGCTGGCATGGAATCTTTTATTCCCTCTCGACGATTCCAGGTCAAGCCTCACTCTTCTCCTTGGTTTTCCTCACATTGCGCTGCAGCAATTTCTAATCGAAACCGTTACTTCCATATCTATCAGCAAAACAGTTCTCCAGAAAACAGACATCTGTTCACTATCGCCAGAAACCATTGTAAAAAGGTTTTGTCTGACGCCAAAGCTCGCTATTCCCAGGTCATTAAATCTCGTATCTCATCACAAAAATTAGGCTCTCGAGACTTCTGGAGAATCTTTAACAGTATCAATAATAAGGGCAAATCTGTTATTCCTTCTCTCTTGTATGGTTCAGACTTTGTCACCTCACCTAAAGACAAAGCTGAATTGTTTGCTAAGAACTTTTCATCAATATCATCTCTTGATTCCACTAGTTGCGTTTTACCTGACATAGCCGTCAAACAGGTTGATCCCTTGCTTGACATTCGCATCACTTCAGCTTCTGTATCTAAAGTAATTTCCTGCTTAGACTCTTCAACAGCTTGTGGTTCTGACAACATTCCTGTTGTAGTCTTGCAGAGGTGTTCTCCGGAGCTTTCATCCATACTTTCTAAACTATTTAACAAGTGCTTATCAGAGTCTTGTTTTCCATTATGCTGGAAAGCAGCATCTGTTATCCCTATTTTCAAAAATTCCGGAGAGCGATCTGATTCATCTAACTACCGTCCCATTAGTCTTCTTCCTGTCATAAGCAAGGTTTTTGAATCTTTAATCAACAAACACTTAATCTCTCATCTTGAATCTAATAACTTACTTTCTGATCATCAATATGGATTTCGGTCTTCTCGTTCTACAGCTGATGTGCTAACAGTAATAACCGATAGGTTTTACCGTGCATTAGATAGAGGTGGAGAGGTTAAGGCTATCGCACTTGACATTTCTAAAGCTTTTGATAAAGTTTGGCATGCTGGTCTTCTCCATAAGCTTTCTTCTTATGGTGTAGCTGGTAACGTCTTTAAGATTATTGAGTCCTTTCTTTCCAATCGTAGTATAAAAGTTGTCCTCGATGGACAACACTCTTCTTCACATCCTGTAACTTCAGGGGTTCCTCAAGGTTCAATCCTTGGCCCTATACTCTTTTTAATTTACATTAACGATCTTCCAGATATTTTCACATCTAAGGTGGCATTATTCGCTGACGACACTACCATTTACTCTTGTCATGATAAGAAGCCTACACTCTCTGATTGCTTGGAGGGGGTATCTGAGCTTGAAAAGGATCTCACTTCTGCTACAGCATGGGGCTCACAGTGGCTGGTGAACTTTAATTCAGATAAAACTCAATTTTATTCGGCCAATCGTTATCGTAATAATTTAGATCTTCCTATATTTATGAATGGTAATGTACTAGATGAGTCATCTACCATTCATCTTCTAGGATTAACTCTTACTTCTGATCTTTCTTTTAAACCGTATATCAAATCCATTGCAAAATTAGCATCTGCTAAGGTTGCATCTCTTTATCGAGCTCGACACTTTCTTACTCCAGATTCTATTCTCTATCTTTATAAATCTCAAATCCGTCCCTGTATGGAATACTGTTGCCACATCTGGGGCGGATCTTCTGGTGATGCTCTTTCTCTTTTAGACAAGGTGCAAAAATGAATTGTAAACATAGTTGGACCTGCTCTGGCAGCCAATCTCCAACCTTTGTCACATCGTCGTAATGTTGCTTCTCTTTCTCTTTTCTACAAATACTATAATGGGCACTGCTCTAAAGAGCTAGCGTCCCTTGTGCCATCTACTAAAATTCATTCTCGTGTTACTCGCCATTCAATTAAGTCTCATCCTTTTTCTGTGACTGTTCCTAAGTGCTTCAAAAACTCTTATTCTTCTAGTTTTTTTCCTCGAACATCAGTTCTTTGGAATTCGCTTCCTTCATCTTGCTTTCCTGATTCATATAATTTGCAATCTTTTAAGTCATCAGTCAATCGTTATCTTGCTCTACAGATTTAGTCTTTTCTCTTCCAGTAACTTCCAACTCTTATAGTGGTTGCTTGCAGCCTTGTTGGAAGTGAAGATGTAAAAAAAAAAAAAAAAAGATTATTCTGTTGTTGGCTTATGCAATAGTTAAATGACATCAGGTGGTAGACTTTTTTTTTGCTATGTATCTTCTTTCTAAATGTGAACTACCTTTTTTGATTCTTTTCTATATTTAAATCTGAGATGCCTATAGTAACTAGTTAAGGATGGTTTCAGATTTCTTTAAACAACTAGTTTTTTCTCATTTCTGAAACAATATAGTTTTAGAGAAACAAATCAAGTTATAAAAAGCAATTTGTTAGTATTAAGTTCACCTGTATCATCTGGCTGTTATTTATAAACAGATTGCCCTGTTGCGCCATCAAAGCCAGCTTTGTATATTAGAATTAGTCTAGTACAATCTTTAAGCAATATAATCTTGATGCAGTATGAAAAAGACAATCTTTAATGCTTCCTTTGCAGAGTAGTCACTGACCTGAATGTTTTCAGAGTAGCATTTATTTTTAGCCTCTTTTACTATATGGTATGATGGGTATAGAGAGTTAAATAGAGGAGCATTATTTCTTAAATGCTTAAATGCTGATAAGTTAATTTAGATAAATTAACATCTAAGGCTAACGCTAAAACTAACGCTAATGGTTGTTGTCGCGTTTCTTATCGAATACATTTAATTTTATTGTTTTCAGAATTATAAAATAATTAACATTAGTAATGTCTCAAACTTGTACAAGATACAAGTTCATAATTTCATATTTTATTTAGTTTTTATTACTTTAAAATTACTTTAACTGATAGTATAAAAAATGATAAATGGTGGTTTCAATACAATCTAAATGTTTATTGAGTGAATACTATGCAGTAACTAGAAATCAAAACAATAAAAAATATATATTTTTTAAAGCTCAAGTCTATTAAAACAATTATTATGAAGTCAAACTGCAGTTATTTTGTTTTAATTCCTCTTAAATTTACTATTATCGCTAATAATCGATAAAAAACACATATTTTGAGAAACGTGGGCGTAGTTATTTGAATTTAGAAGTGTATTTGTTTAAGCAGCTATAGGCAGGCAGTTTTTGAACCATAGATCAATACCATTGTTGTGTTAATGATGTATAACTTTTAGCAGTTGATACAGGTTGATCCGATGGTTTTAAATAAAAATGTTTGAATTTTTTATTTCTCACTCAAACGATGTTTTCTTTGTTAAAAATATTTATATAAAGTGCTAACAAAATAATTTTATTAAAATATTAACATTATAATATTTAAGTTATTTATATGGTAAAAAAATAAACTTAAAGTTCTTTAAAATAAGAAATCAAAGTTTTAAAAAAAATGTAAAAAAAGAAAATTTTCGCACTTTTTTAATTTAGATGAAAAGTTTTTAAGGGAATATTTAAATAACAAATATGATATTTTAATGCGAAAATATTTTCTTATAAAATATAATTTCTAACTCAATAATATGTTAAATGATTTTTGCCATTTTTTAAATTTCAAAATTTCAAAAAAAATTTTTATGGTTTTGCCACTTGCTTAACTACTTAATTTCTGTATGGTTTTGTGCAATGCTTAACTACTATTTGTAATATCGTATTCCATTTTTTGAATTTGCTTTTTTTAGTTTCAACCAGATTTTATTTTATGAAGAACACATTGTTGTAACATCACCACTTATATTCTAAATCTCTTAATATCAAAGCTTGTCATAACAAGTCTTTTTTTTTTTTTTTTTTTTTTTCTGGAAGTGTAAGTGGTTGTCTTCTTGCTCTGGGTTTTTGATGTACTTTGACTTTCTTTTGCCTCTGCGTCCCTTTTTCTTTCTCCTCGATTTCTTTGCCCATTTTGGTTTTTTATTAGGATCCAAGTTAGTTCATTTGCACTCATGTTGCCACTTAGAGAGAACAATGTTTCAATATTTGAAACACAAAAAAACGTTTTGTGTTTCAAACATTGTAATTATAAGTTTCATTAGTTTTCAAACCAATGAAATTTTCAGATATCTATTTATAATTTTTGAAGTCAATATTTTTTTTTAATCAACTTTAAATTTTTTTAAAAATATAAAAAAGTTTTGTTGTCTTCCATAAAGGCCACCTTCCTTGTG